GCACCCACCGGGACACCCACCGGGGCACCCACCGGGACACCCACCGGTGACACCCAGCGGGACACCCACCGGGGCACCCAGCGGGGCCGTGTCGCTCTCGTCGCTGCAGCCCGCGGTGGTGAGAGCCGGCAGGATCGCAGCCCTTTCCGCGGCTCGGCCGGGAGCCCGGGCGGGGGGGAGCGGGGGCCAGGGGTACCCGGGCACAAACCCACGGCCCCGGGACCGGCGGGGCCAGGCCGCTCACTCCCCTTGCTGCTCCCCTCAGCCTCTACCTGCCTGTCTCCGGAGGGCTGCGGCGGGTCATTAATTATCTCCCGAACGTGTTGGGTTCTCTCGACCGCAACCAACCCACCAATAAAAATTAAAAAAAAAAAAAATAGAGAGAGATAAAGAATGAAAAAAAAAAAAAAATGGGCGGGGGTGTGGGAAATTCAATTATTCCCGTCAGCCGAGCGCCGGGGAGGGCAGCGCCTCTGAAGTCACCGACCAGGGGCGACTGAGGGCGACTGACCCCTGCTCGTGCAGAGGCCTCACGTGTGTCATTGTGTCCCCAGTGGGTGGGACGCGCCGAGGCCGGGCTGGTGGCCGAGCAGCGCTGCCCGCCCAGGTGCCCACGCCACGCGGGGCTGCGGCTGCCCCGACCGGGCGGCGTGCCTGTGAGCTGGGAAAGCCTCCGGCTCGGAGACAAGGAGCGAGTGTAGCTCCACGGCGGCAGAAGCTTAAAAAAATACTAAGTTATTGTTCGCCTAAAAAAAAAATCTTGCCGCGTTGGCAACGGCAGGACCTCGGGGCTTCGAGATAAACATCCCGAGGGTTTGGGATTGGGAAGCAAAAGGAAGCGATTGTAGCTTTGGACGAGGACTCCTTGTTTCGGGAGGGCTTGGTGGCCACAGCCTGCCTTGCTGCTGTGTACTTGCGGATCGGGCTGCATCAATTAACCTATAAATCTCTTTTTATACGTTTCCCACTTCTACTCTGACAACTTTGCTGAGTGTGTGCACCCGGCAGCATCCGCACTGGTATACTGTCACTATTTACACCCCATCACTTCCTGACTGGAATTTGCCAATTCGGAGAGCAAAAATTGTATAAAAGGAGTTACAGTTTTTTGGTGGGTTTTTTGTTTATTTGTTTGTTTGTTTTTTAAGGCATTGTCCGTATAGCCTATGATATTTCTTTTCCCTTACTGACCTTTCAGAATATATATGTGTGTATGTATATATATACATATATATATATATATATATATATAATGTTGTACTTAATCACTTCAGTAATTTCCATTTCTATTCAGCGGTATTTCTGGCCAAACTCAATTTATTTTCCAGAAGTCGGAGTACCTCGCATCTCTTCCATTTAAAATCTATCTCAATTACAAACGTGCAAACAGCTACCGGAAAAGGCTCCAGGCTCCCTTTTCCCTCCGTGCTCCCAACGCGAGGGAAAGGCAGAAAAAGACCCCCTGCTTTACGTCAGGAACAAATACTGTGCATTTCTCCCACCTTTGTTTTGTTTTGTTTCGTTTTCCCTTTGAGTGTTTTTGGAACTCAATAGCAACAAAAATGTACAAAGCCCTGGAAAGCGTCGCGGGTCCCTCTGTGCCCCGAGGGCGCCGGGACCTCCCTGCCAGGCTCCCCGCGGAGCTGCCCTGGCCCGGGGACTCCCGGGGCTTAACGCTGCCCGTCCCGCCACGGGCACGGCCCGGAGAGCATTGCCGGGGAGAAAGAAGACCGCGAGGTCTGGGCCCTCCACGCAGGAGGAAAACGCGGTCCGCAATGGGTTATGGGACTCGTTATGGCAGATTTCGCTGCGGGGCAGCGGCAGGTGAAGTTTCAGCAGCGGCTCCAGGAGTGGCAGGTCGGTGGCTCCGTGGATTTCCCTCGTCCCTTACACCGAGGATGCTAGGAAAAGGCAGAACAAACCCGGGATAACAGCAACAAAAGTCCCCTCGCGCTGAGCTGCGAGCCGGCGGCGAGGGAAAGATTCCATCCACCCAAAAGAGCTTTTAAACCGCGCTGTATCGCGGTTAAATGAATATCCTTAACAAGCGTAAAGACAAGTAGTTTTTCTCCTGCCATAAACATATTGCATCTCCGGTGTAATTATATGCAAACCAGGAGCGAACGAGACATTTCCATTGTAGCTGTCATTCAGCGGAGGGGGAAGCACATGTACATTTGAACTTCAGAGATCCGGGCTGGAGTAAACAGGTCTGAACTTCGGCAAGGGGAGGGGGCGAGGAATATCAAAGGCCAGACGGAGTCAGGCAGAAAGACTTGAGCGGCGAGGAAATGTAGGTGCCAGCGGGCTCCATCCTGCACCCCGGAGAGCCGGGCCGGCACTGACACCAGCAACCTCGCC